GCTTCGGCATCGCGGCCGCGCGCGCCCCGCCCCGCGCCACGTCACCACTCCGCCGGCCAATCCGCGCGGGGGGCGGGGCCTAGCCGCCGACGGAAGCTGTGGGGCCGTCCTGGCGCGGACAGGGCGGGGTTGGAGCCTGGGGGCGGAGCTTCCCCTTCAGGAGTCGTGGGCGTAGCCCGGCCCGGCCCGCTGGAGCCGGCGGATGCGGGTGCGGTGCGGTGCGCTACTCGCCTGAGGCCCTGAGCGCCCTCATTTTGATGATTTTCGATTTCAATGTCACCCCGCCCTGCAGTGACAGTGATTACAGTGTGGAGAATACGGTATGGGTAACACAAATGTGATCTTGTGTTAATGACAAATATCTCAATACGATACAGATGATACAAATATCTTCTGTTAATTACAAATGTCTCAATGCACTATGGATAATACAAATATTAATTACAGGTATCTCAATATGAAATGGATAATACAAATATTATCTTCTGTTAATTAAAAATAAATACGATATGGATAATACACATCATACTGATTACAAGTCTCTCAATATGGTATGGATAATACAAATATTTTCTTGTATTAATTACAAATAAATACAATATGGACAATACAAATATATTAATTACAAATAACTCAATTCGATATAGATAATACAAATATATTAATTACAAATCTCTCCATGACAGTGTGGATAATACAAATATTAATTACAGATATGGATAATACAAATATTATCTCTTATTAATTACAAATATCCCAATGCGATATGGATAATACAAATACTCAGTGGAATTAATTTTTACAAAGTGTGGGGCCCTGGGTGGTTGCCCAGTTTGCCCTCCCCTGAGGCTGCTACTGATTGCGTTCTTGGGGCCATAAATGCAGGCTGGCTACATGTGGAACGTAGTCCTTGTGCCATAAAAGCGGCTCTCCAGCTGTACAGAGAGCCAAGCTGCCATTAAGTTAGTGCTTGAAGATGTGTAGTGATCACCAGCACCAGTCTGGTGCTGGTTTCCGTCCGGCTAGGGTTACCAGCCCTCCAGGATTGCCTGGGAGTCTCCAGGAATTAGATATAAAGCTCCGGGATACTGCTGAAAGTCACCCGGGAGATAAATGATAGGCCATCCATTAAAATAAACATGAAATATTGAATCCAATTTATATAGTAGTCCAGTGGGTTTTTTAAATGTAATAGTAATGTGTACTTGCCTTCTGATGCCAAGTCATTAATGTCATTATGTCATGTAATGAAATCTCCCAGAATGGATTTAAACAGGGCGGGCAACCCTACGTCCAGCTTTCATTCGAAGGCCTAGCAGGGCCCTGCCGTGGCAGAGGGCAGATGTTGGAAGGGGGCAGTGAGCAGGCACTGAGCAGGGGGGTTTCCCCTGTTCCTCTCCCATTTGCAGCCTCCAGCATTTAAGGTCCCAGCGATGCAGAGGCCGTGTCCATGGCTCCCATGTTCACCCTGGAGCACCTCATGCACTCCCTTGCCACCTAATTAGGCAGCTGTGGTACTTTGGCATCTATGTGCAGTTGTATTCCACCCGGCTTGCAAAACTGAACACAAATATACAGGCAGTCCTCAGATTTACGACACAATCGGTTCCTGGAACCGATTTTCTCATAAGAAACAATGTTATAAATGGGGGATTGGTTCCTGAACCAAGGCCAGATTCCCTGTTTTCAGCAAAAATACCCCAGAATTTTGTACTCGATCAATTATAGATGAGTAGTATACATTAATGTATTTATATTGTAAATAGCAATCTCATTGATTTGGAAGAACTTTGAGGTGACTTTGCTGGACTTTTTGAAGGGCTCTTGGTTGGAGTCTTCTCAGGAGTCTTGGCTGTAGGTTTTTCTGGAGTCTTGTCTCCTTTCTTAAACAAAGTGTCTAAGGAAGTTTGGACAGATGTTCTCCAGGGAGATGAGCAGCGCAGCCGACTTGTTTGCTGGCGTGGCGTTGTATCAGATCAACCATTGAAAAATCGAAACTGACGTCATAAATTGGAAACAGGGTGTCAATTTATAACCGTTGTAAGTGTGAAACGTTGTAACTCGAAATGTTGTAAGTCGAGGACTGCCTGTATGTGGGTTGCCCTGCTTTATGCCATGTCATCCTACATCTTGGATGAAGGCACGTGATAAAATGTATATCAGTACTAATGGTTTTTAAGGAGCCCAAGCAAGGTGGAATAGGATCTCAATTAAATGACCTGAAAAGGCAGAAAAAGGTCTCAGGCCTGCCAGTGGTTAAGTGCCTAATGGTAGCACAAACCCGTGAAATCCTAGGTAGATGTTCAGCACCTTGCAGTCTTGAGCATTTCTATCAGAACATCTCTGTGCTTTATGAAGGTGACCAGGTGACTAGCAAGGGTGAACTTGAGCTAAGTCTTTACAAATTAGATACTGTATATGATATCAAGAAAAAATGTGAATTCAAAGTTGAGAGTGCTCTTTTGCTTGTGAAGAATAACACTCTAAAACTTTATCTGAGAAGAAGAAATAGGTTTAAAAGGGATCGGCGTGTACTATAACTGCACTGCTGGATCTTTCATTTAAGGGTAAAAATGAGGGCAGTTTCCCTGAGGGCTGACACATGACACTGTCAAGATGTTCTGTTATGATTACTTTTGCAACATGCTGCCATCACCTCACTGCAGGGCAAACTCAGAAGTCTTCTGTTGCAGCCATTAGCGTCTGCCTCAGGTGGCAACATCTCTTCCTTAATTGCTTCACAAGCCTAATCCTTAACAACATCTGCTGCTGCTTGGGCTTTTTTTTTTTTGTTAGCGGAAAGGCAAAATAATTCTGTCTCATGTGCATCAACATGATTTGGTATCCTATAAGGAAAAAGTTGGCTCATCTGCTAGTTTTTTTCACTCTTTACCCAGTAGAACAATCCAGTAGTGTTTATTAATCTCACAGAAATAAGCCTTGAGGGAGATCCATTGGTGATTTGGAAATAGAAGGGGAGACTGTTCTGATCTGGCTAAGCTTGCCAGCATCTAACATTCATGAAATGTAATGCTGACAATTTCTGCTGATGAGACTGTTAACCTAATTTAGCCTCTGTTAGCTTAATTTAATGCACGTTATGGTCTTGTGTCTACACATGTATGCCCTTAATGTGCATTAAAACAGTGAAATTAGGCTAATCACACAAATTTGATACCTGCAAATGCAGGTATCAAATATAGGCGTGATTAGTTAAAGCGCATTAATACATGTGTAGACGTGACCCAACACTAACTTTAGTGCTGGGTCTGCCCAGCCACTAGGGGCACAAGACAGGGCTGCAGGGACTGGGCACTAGCTTTAGTGCCCAGTCCCTGCATGTGTAGATACACGTAAAAACATTCCTTAATGCATCTTAGCTTAATGCTCATTAAATTTATTTGTGCTTAAATGCATGTGTAGATATGCCCTGTATTATGCTATTCTGCTTCGGAAAAAAACTAACCCACCAGTAGTAAATGAGAATGTGAACATTTTAGTTTTTCTTTGAAAATGCGATTGTGAAAGAAAACCCAGTAAGAAAGGAGAATCCGACCATCTTAGTTGTACTCTTCTTCCAAGAAACATTTAACATGAACAAATGGCTGGTGAAAAGCTTTCTGACTCTCGAAACAAAGCAAAAACTGAATTTTATTTTTTTCTTCAGTGTTTTCAATTTCTAATTGGCAAATTAATAATTATTAAATTATTATGTTATTAATTATTATTAATAATAAATTATTAATTTGCAAATTCAGGCACAAACCATACATCTCCTGATGCAGACTTCAAACATCCCAGTTTGTGAGTACAGGTTTCCCTCAATCTATGCGGGTTCTTTATATGCGAATTCACTCTTATGCAATGAGCATATTTAGACCCATAATTCATTATATTCAAGGTAAATTTGCACTTATGTGATCAGCATAGACACCCCTCTGCCCAAGCAGGTAAGTCTGTGAGGGAGGAGGGGGAAAGGGCCGTGGCCCCACTCACCCCAGTCCCAGCTGCAGTAGTCCCGGGAGCACCTGGTGCCAGCTGTCTGCAGCCACTGGGCTGCACCATGCTCCACCTGTCCTCACTCACCTCTGCTCCTAGGTGGCGCCGTGCCCTGGTGCAGGCAGCTGGCATTGGCTTCTCCCGGGGCTGCTCCAGCACGGGCTGGGGTGAGTGCTGTGCGCCACGCTGCCTGGGGCTCCGCTTGTCCACACTCACTCCAGCATGGGCTGGAGTGGCCCCAGGAGCAACCAACACCAGCTGCCTGCACCAGGGCACAATGCAGCTCAGGAGCAGAGGTGAATGGGGACAAGTGGAGCCCAGGTGCAGGGCGACAGGTGAAGCACGGTGCAGCCCAGTGGCTGCAGGCTGCTGGTGCCGGCTGCTCCCGGGGCCGCTGGAGCTGGAGTGAGTGCCGCTCTGCTCCCTCTGCTTTGCTGTTTTGTACAGCCCTGGGAGCAGCACCCCTCCTCCCATCCCTTCCTTAGTCCCAGTCTCACTCCCTTTCTCCCTCAGTGCCATGGAAACCTATCCCTATTTATTACACTGTAAAGTGGACTTGCTTTATGCAAATTCGATTTATGCGCCGTTCTCTGGGAATGCATGTGCCTCATAAATCGAGGGAAACCTGTATGTTTACTCTGGGGTTATGTTTCAATCTGCTTTGAAAACAAGGGTTGTCTACAAAATATGTAAATTTAGATTTTGAATGCTGCAGTGAGCAATGATGATATCTTCTTG